TTACTCTCGTTAAGGTTCATTACCTAAATGACTTTGTATATGCAAACAAGATTTCTTTTTTTCTGTTACTGTGTTATGTAAATAGTCTTTTTTCTTTCGTCTTCTTCTCTGTTTGCCTCATCAATGAGAGTGAGTCTTTATACTGTGTGTTTAATATGAAAAGCCATCTAATTTAAAAGATTTAATTTGTTAGAACAATAACTGCCAATGAAGTCCTCTCTGCTTGCAATTGTAAATATGAGAAGGTACAATATGTCGATCTAGTTATGCACTGTAGTCGATGCATGTTGAAGTCTTTCTAATTCCTCCAAGGACAAAACATTTGTCTGGACAAGCTCTGGGAGCTTACCAGCCCGCGCCTGAGCAAGAAGCTCTGGACTAAACCATCGTGCCAATTGATTCGAGGTTGGTGAAAGATCGCCACCGTTAGTACCGACATATCCTAATCCAGGTGATGTTTGACGACCTACCGGCATACTTATTTGTTGTGATCGCATTACTCGTCCATCTGTAGGAAAATGAAATAAAATTTATTCACGGTATTATCTCAGTCTAGCCGAATCTAACAACGATATCGAGAAATTATTTGAAAATAGACGCAATGGGACATAAATAAACTAAAAAAGTTACTGAATAATGCAGATGTGTTACATGAGAGAAAAGGGCAATCTAAAAGAACTACTGGTTTCTTTACTTCTAATTTGATCCAAATATAAATGGTGTCTAGACTGGTATAAATAAGAGGAGCATCTAATGTGTGTGATTCAATTATTCCAATTTCTGAACACCATTGCATGCAATTTGATTAAGCAAGAGGAGGACACCTGAAAAAAGTTTCGGAACAGTAAAGTTAATGCAACTGTATATCAAGATACGTTTCTATGATTGCATGATTAAAGACAAATAAACTTAAATATCTACAAAGTTGTACGGATTGTATAATTATTTAATCATGCGTTGCAGCCACTACTTTTTTTTATATGGAACTGTTATTGTTACCTGCACGATTGGAATTGTAGTTTTGGTTCAAAACCGTTTGCATTTGTGAGTTAAGCGACCGTTGTGGTTGCTGTTGTGGTTGATGTTGCATATTTGAAAGATGCGATTGAGCTTGCTGTACTTTCATTTGGTTGTTCATAGTGTTCGACCTCTGATTTATCATTGAATTTTGAGCAATATTGTATTGCGGCACATTGTGATGGGGCATATTAGTAGTCATTGTATGCTTGGAACGCACAGGATTACCATAAACGCCCGAAACAGTTCTGTGTTGTTGTTGTTGCTGTTGTTGTTGAAAATCTGAGTTTCCACTGTACTGAAATTGGGTACCAGCATTACCACCACCTTTCACTATCGGTCGACCTGTAGCAAGTAATATTTCGTCAATACTTCTTCTAAATGATATAAAATATATAGAGAATATCAAGAATATATAATTATACCTGAATGTTGTTTAATACTCGAATTCGACCATGTAGATTGTACAGACTGTGGCCGCAACGCATTATGCCGGGAAATCTGTGTCAGTAACTGAACAGCGGATTGCATATGTTGCATTTGCGATGCTTGCGACTGACTCGCTAGTTTCGATGGATCATTACTATTACCTACATAACAATAAACATAAAAGCAAGGATATTAGGCAAATTATTCTGAACTATTCAAATATAGTTTAGAATATTTATGACAATATATTTGTACAAACAAATATAGAGGCTTAATATGACACTACAATTGAATGTTTATTCCCATGAAAAATAACATTTCAGTGAATAATAATATCAATCAATATATCGTATCAATTTGGAGGTGTGACAATATTTAAAGGAAAATGTCAATTGTTGTTTCGGGAATATCAAACACCAACATCAACATTAATACTATCGTTATATTACTCGACACTTTGTGCATGCAATCTCCTATAAACCACTTAATATATTAATAGCTATAAATACTGAAAAAGCACATGCATCGAAGTAGAAACGCGTGAAAGCAAATTCATCGCAGGAAAATGAAAATGTGTAAAGGATAACTTAAAGCATGAAATGTGTTTATAAAGCTTTTTATTTTAAAACTATTTCAACATACTTTTCTTTTGCAATACGTTCATATATTAGTCTGTGCAAAATGATTAAGTTATATTGTTCAATGGTAGTGGCATTATATTCAAAACTAAAAGAGCTCCAATCTCATATGGATTATCTTTGAAAAATTACAGACAGATCAGCTTCCAAACACATTGAAGGTATTGAGCATGAAAAAAGAATAAAAAAAAAAAGAAAGGAAAGAAAACAAAATTCTCATTACTTATTTTAATACAAAAAATAAAAAGCAATTTTACATTGGACAGCAGTCACAGAATCATGAACTCTCTTTTTCTCTATGGCACGAAATTCTACGAACGGTCAACATTTTATGTAAGTGTCGTTCTCAGATTCTTCTCTCCTATACGAAACCAAATAGTTCAAGCACTAATTTGTCAAGGGTAAGAGGGCTATTGTTATTGGTATCGTTTACGTCTGTTATGGCAGTCTCTTTAGGGGACGTGTCGTTTTCATTTAATATCTTTGTCTCATCAGTGGAAGAATTCCTTGAAATATTTAAATTCGAATTATTGTTTGTGTCCTTGTTTTGCTGCGAGAAAGAAAGATACTTGGTCTTTAATGCGGACTCCCCTGTTTCTGCGTCTCCATTGTTATTCAACTCCTGTGAGGAGTTTGGGTTACCGTGTTCTTTAGTGTTACGATTAGTGATATGCTGTGTTGTATTGTAAGGTGAAATGGGTGTTTGTAAGTCAGAACAGTTTTTGTATTGGTTCGCGTTACGATAATTGTTACGGTTTTCGCTATGTTTAGGAGAGTAAAAGAAAGCAGATTCTAATTGATGATTAGACTGATTCGCACCCTCAGGCTCCTTATCGGCAGTCATTTTACGTAACACCGATGTCGGGGTAAAAGCGAGCGGCGTTGGGCTCATCGTCTGCTTCGCCGACGAGTTAACAGGACTAGATGTTCTCTGTTGAGCTTGCTGTTGTTGTTGTTGTTGCTGTTGATGTTGTTGATGCTGCTGCTGTTGATCCTGCCGTTTGCGGTAATTCTCACGTTGCTCCTCCAATTTTTTCTTAATTAGAGTATTTTGCATTATGGTCTGAGCATGCATAGCAATCTCCCGCGGCGAGGGAACTCTATGCTGCATCACTGTTAAATAAATAATAAAAAATCATGCACGTATTAAAACCACCGGATCATCTTTAGCAAACAATCTTCGAGACAACTACTGTGATTATGGAACCTATTTTTTAATAAGAAGCAACAGTATCGCTTTGTAGCATCCCTTGAATAATCTATCTACGTTGTCGAATCATAAATAACTTCAATCGTGTTTTTGTTATATCGTTTATGTAATTTACTTAAAAAACGGAAGTTATTTATGCCTTGGTTTACTACAATCTAAATCAGGGCTCAAAATTAACGGCACGTAACATAAGGACTGCGAGGGCTACGCTTCCAGATTCCCGTCGCACGTCTTGGTCACCCGTGATTGCCTATTTCAACTCGGAGCACATTAATCGCGTGTGCCCGTTGTTGTGTGTGTGTGTGCGCGCGCGCGCGTGTAGCATTTAGGCGACTACGGATGAGCGAGACACGCGACGGGAGTCAGGAGACATAGCCCTCGCGATCCTCATGTTGCGTGCTAATAATTCCGACCCCTGATTTAAATAAATTCAATATAAAAAAAGGGTGAGATCTAAGGTCTTCGTATTCCAGTTATCCGACTAATGTAAAGCAGCAACATAAAATAACAGTTATTTTATTATTAAAACTTCTACCTGGATGCTGCACTGTTAATGTGCTGGGACTAGCGGTCAAATTTGGAGATATTATCGAAGGTGGACAATAAGCTGCATTCCAAATATCATGATACATATGTGAACTATTATATATGTACTACGATGTTCATATAAAAGTATCTACGTTTAAAAACCAGTATAATTAAAAATAGAAGAGTACACAACAATCTTGTACTAGTTCTCGTGAAAGTCATAGAAAGAAGTGATGAAAGTAAAATTTCTTTGTGAGTGTATAGCCGAAAAGAACTATGTCTCTTTCGAGCGAATAACATTTATAACTCACCATTATTCATGGGTGATGGAATCCTTTGCTGTTGCTGTTGATACAACATCTGTTGCAAGATGTGGTCTTGCGGAGTGGGAGCGGTGGGATGTGGACTTACGGTACGAGGAGTAGTGCCACCGTACATTTTTAAAATGTTGACTAAAACTTCCCTATGGCGGTGTTGCATAGCTGGGTTCTGTTAAAAATATTATTAGGTGATTGCAAACAGATAAATTCAGTTGTGAAAAATTAATAATCAACCGATAATAATGGTCCCATTATATGCTGACCTGCAACTGTTGTATGAGGTGCTGCCTAGTTATTTCACCTTGTTGAAGACCTTGAATAATGGCTTGAGCTTCAGGCCTTTGTAACAGTTCCTGACTCGTTGGAACATTGTTGAGCATCATCTGCATTTCCGGTGGCACAGGGCTAACACCCAATATTCGTTGACCTCCCATCATTATCGACAGCATGTCAGAATGTTGTTGCTGCTGTTGCTGTTGATGTTGCTGTTGTTGATGTTGCTGCTGCTGCTGTTGTTTTTGTTGCTATTATAAGAATAGAAATTATGAAAATAGAAGTAATAAGAAATTGTGTTCGAGCTTTCATAAACTATCGTGATACCAACCTGCTGAATTTGTAACACTTTCATCAGGTTCTCGTGTTGCATTTGTGCCTGATGCGGATGCTGAGTTGGTCCGAGAGAACCAACATGATTAAAAGTTGAGTGAACTGGTTCTGGGACTGACTGCTGAGAGGCAATAGGTTGGGTTTTTAGTTGCGAATTAAGTAACTGTAAAAAACAAAATATTGTTTAACGTCGAATAAAATACCGTGTAACTATATACCACATAATGGAGAAAACGCGATTATCTTACTTGCATTAATGTTACCGGTTGCTTTTGAGAAATAGGACCATTTGCCGCTGGTATAGCTTGTCCTCCAGTAACTTGAGCAAGCTACATTGCATATGAACAGAAAAAAGATTATATGCGTATTCTAATTATACATAGTTAGTCACAGTATCATAATCAAAGGATTACCAGTTTCTTAAAAGCAGAGAGATCTTCAGTCTTATTTACACGAGGTTGATCGATTGCAGATGTAGGCGGAGGAGCACCACCTCGCATACGTGCTTCCAAATCCTCCAGACTATGCACAACTTTTCCACCAACTTCTATAAGAACGTTCGACATCATTTACCATTCCATTAGTCTACCGAACTAATGAAAATTCAATGAATCCTCACCCATATCTTTAATAGTTGTATTCTTCATTAACGGTGCAATACTACTAGTCGCATCTCCTTGGCCGTTCTGACTTGGTTTATTTCCACGTTGTAGCATTTCCAACAATTTCACTCCGGTGGTAGATGTGACGGTATTCGTAGTTGTATTGGCAGGTGAAATGGGAGCAAAGTACGTGTTAGATTCAGTTACCGATGGGATTTGAATATTTGGCTCCGTAATATCATTCAGAAGATTGTTTAGTATATCGTCTTGTATAGAAGTTCTGCGACTGTCGACTTGTTGTACTGGACTTTCCCTCTTGAACCACTGACTGAATCGTGAACAAGTTCCTCCATTCGTACCAACTCCGTTCTATAAACGAGAGATAAAAGATATTAGTATTTCTGTAAATAAGAAATACATCACGTAATATCTTCATATAACTTACAGTTAAGAGTCCAGGAACACCGGGGAACGTATCGGACTTCAGGAAGTCATCGAGATTGAAGTCGGGATGGGCGTCTTCTTGATTTCGGTTGGTGATACTCGAGTTATCGGTTATTTCACAACTTGGCTCGGTGATGACGCTTTCATTCGACTCATGATTCGTTTTCTGAATGAGCAAAGACGATTCGTTCTGTTCCGAAATGGGTGAATGCGGTGCAGCCACGACGTTCATAGGTTGATCCATCGTGGTCGGTGTGCTACGCCCTTTAGGACCTGCCGAATTTTCGGTCTGCTTTTCATCCTTTTCCACCGAACTCTTTTTCCCGCGTTTCTTTTGCAACGGAGCCTGCTTTTTGTTCTTCGCGCTGCCGCTGTTGCTTAGTGCCTTCTCTTCAGGAATATCTTCGAAACCTCTCAGCTCTATCGTATCGTGTTGAGAAGTCGGCCCAGAACTGAACCATTCTGGCTCGTCCACATCGTTGCGATTTTCGCTGTAAGTTCGTCTACGGTCGTTGCTGAATCGTCGTTCTCGTCCTCGATCTTTCTCCCGATCCGGTTGATGATTTCGATCATTCCGCTCGGCACCCCTATCCCGATCACGTTCTCTTTCCCTATCCCCATAGTCGCGGCCGAAAGATCTTCGCTCATAGCGCTCGTTCCTTTCGTCTCGCTCGCGCAAATTATCACGTTCTCGATCCCTTTCCCTCACAGTCTCTCTATCCTTTCCATCACGAGTGTCTCTATGTTCGCGGTCACGAATAGTCGTACCCCCGGTCGCCCCAGATCGAAAAGTAAAATCCGTTCGTTCGGGCTCGAGCTTTTCGTTCTCCGGTCGAAAGTTCCAAATGTCGCGAGCCAAGATCCTACCGCTTCCAATTCGTCGAACAGGTTCCCTATGACTGACCTGAGAGCAATCGCAACGGTAGTAACTTCGCAACAAGCGCTTAAATATTCTACGAGAAATAGTTTTAGCGATACCTCTGTCTTCCCTATTGGACTTTCAGGACGTCGGTTGGAAGATTGATTACATATCACATTAACAAAGCAACCGGAATTGAAACTCCTACGCTGAGGACTTAGAACAATGCCATCCTGCTCCTTACGGATTCGTTCACGAGGATCTCCGTTACGACGTTTCGCATGGTTTTCAGCCACCTGATCGCCGCGTCCAGCTCTCTCATCTTTCGGAGGTGTATCGCTCCGCTTTCTACCCGAATGCCAACGTTCAGGGTCCCATACACCGCGCGAACTTAATAATTAGTTTTACGAAAAACAAAATTATTATAAAGAAAATCGTAACATAATTACGAATAGGCTATACTACAGTATACACACTTGTTATATGAAATATCTAAGAAATCAGGTCTCCTTTTTGACAGTGGCAATGTCTTTATCACCATTAACTCCTCCTATAAGCAGTAAGGAAAACATATCAGGGCAACACATAGCCGACAACATTATTGTGTATTATAAAAATATAAATACAAGACGTATAGCGTACCCGGGAATACTGAAATTGAGGTCTTGAACGGCCCACTTCCATAATCGAAGTGTCGGTTACCTCCCCAGCCACCGACATTGATATAATTGCTTCATCTCCTGAATGTTAAGAAAAAATTCGGATATTTATTAATCATAAAATTTCCGTGTTATTTGCAGTCTATTAGCGTTTCTCTTTAGACTACAGATATCAAAACAGATAGATCTTTTAAATGTAATTGATAAAAATCGCGAAATCGAACGACCCTTTATTACCGATCAAATAAAAGCTTCGATAAACAGCATCGAAATCGCTGAGTATTATAAATACGAAATCTTACATTGAAAATTGAAAACAGAATATTTTTCGCACACATGCGACAGAGAGGAAAATGTTCATTTTTTTCAAAGTATGTGCGACCGTACGAGTAATCCCTAAAAGGAGATCGGTACTCACTAAAAGTCCCTCGTTTAACAACGCTGACAGATTTATTTTTGCGAAACCATCGGCAAGCTCTAGTCTGCGTAACCAGAGTCGCATCTAGAAACGGTGATCCGGTCGGTCCAACCAGCGGACGTTTTCGTGATCGCCGATACCAATTCGAAATAAGAACGCCACGTGACTCTAGTTTCATTTTACTTTCAAGTTTTCGCTTGCACGATTTTACTTCGCGGTTTTCGCGGTAAACGTTCAGGTCGTTCTTCGAACCGCTCCAAACAGTCAAACAAATATTTATCGCGCGCCAAGGACGAAAAGGACAAAGAATTATCGTTTGAACCGGCTATAATACAATATACGATCGACGAACCGAGCGAAATAAAGTATATATTCGTATGCGCATATATATATATATATTGAAGTGTATAATGTTTCCGAGAAGGAAATACTCTGTTCCCTCGTGATTATTTCACTTGCCGGGAATTAATTGTCGCACTGGTGAATTTAAAAGGATCGAAGATAAATAAACACGCCGAATAAAGTACAAGTTAAAATTCGATAATGATTCGATAGAACTGAATCCCGTAGTTTGAACTCGATCGAATTTTCAATTCCGGGAACAATGTTCTTTGTAAAATGGACTACAAAAAGATCAATCTGCCACGAACGTCCACAATCTAACGATTAACTTTCAGTTAACGTGTACTGAAAAAAAATCACGATATCCGTATAAAAATATATCGCGAACTAATTTAATGATTGTTTTTGTACTTGTGCACTATCAACGACTTCCCGTTTCGTTCCTTTTCGAACGCGAACTTTCGTCTATATTCTGTTTAAGTCCGTGTAAACGGGCGGCTAAGAAACGAAATTCTTAATTTTGATACTACACGTCGACTAGCACGATACAAACTGAACCAAATGCCAATGGTTTTTAGGTGGCAAGAGTTTGACCGCGATCCAATCAAGAACGTCCCCGAGAACGTTATTGTCAACTTTCAGTTCCATTGGTTCTGTTTTGGGGAACGTTTAAACGGAATTGGTAACTGATTTCCGGGAAAAGGTACAGTTCAATGCGAAACACAAACGTTAAACAATCAGATGAACAGTGTTTATTTATTTCTGTAAATGAATCGTTTATTTTAATATCGATTCTCATTGCAATTGTTTAAACAACCTTCGGAATAAGTTCGAACGA